TGAAATAATCTAACCAACATGATATCAAATCTTTTCTATCAAACATTCTTGCTCGAACAAAAATGTACTCAAATGTGCGTCAAGTAAGATTGTAAATATTGTATGTCTGATGACGTGGTAATTTGTGGGCTCAAAAAGATTTTAGATTGTTGAGAATGTTCGTGGCGAAAAGGCCGTGTGTGCTCAGTGGAGATTAGACAAGTTCTGAGTACTGCTCAAAATAATCAGAATTACTAAATAAGTCTCAATTACTTTTATGACAATTAGACAATTAGTTTTTCTCTTGAAAATTAGTACATAATTACTTTGTGATAATGGGTAATTGTAAATATTGATTCGGTGACGTCATTGAGTCATTGGGTTTCATTGCACGTGTCCAGAGTATCATAGTTTATCTGTTGATTGGTCAGTCAACTCGCTCGCGCTATCATCGTTAGATATTTTTTCTGGTCAAGCAACTCTCGCTTTTAAAAGCACTCTCCTGCCGTAAGTACCACCACTCTTTACAAATGGCAACGTCAATTCCTCGTCGATCTTCCAGGAAGATTTCAAGAAAAACACTCGAAGACTTCGAGTACGATTTGGATAGCCAACTACAAGGTCTACACGAGAGTACACTTTACAACGCCATCATCACAATCCAAGAATCCAGTCTCCCCATCAGACTCTACCTCCATCGCCAGCGGCACGCTCCCAGGCGCAGTCACCCGATGTCATGGATCGACAATTGGCTTTGGTAAAATTAGAAAAAGAGCGCCTAGAGCTTGAATTAAAAGTCAATCAGGCACGTCAACGGCAACCCGCGACTGGAGTTACAGATCTTGGAACAGAGACAACACAGACAAATCGCAGGAAAAGACAGATCGACTGGCCGCATGACGATATTCCTGATATGTTTAGCAATCATGACGAGCATACGATCGATATGGAGGGATTTTTTGCCGGGTTTCTGTGTCGTTCTCCTCAACACCTAGATGATTTATGTAGCAAGTTCCTCCGCCTGGCCTTTGCTGAATCAACCTCGCGAAACCAGGCGTCCCATTGCAACATTTACAAGAACTTTTGCTCTGCGTACGGTATGACCGCCTTTCCTGTCTCGCAGTTATCGGTCACCCGCTACATCGCTCATCTGGTTTGTTTAGGAAGTACTTCTGGTACTATTTTAACACATATTAGCAGTATCAAGCATTATCATAAATTTTTAGGTTTCTCAAATGATTGGGATCAGGATTATCGCTATCAGTTGTTTTTACGTGGTTGCAAGCGACATTTAGGAACCGCCCCTAGCAATCGAAAATTAGGGATTCCGCCTCAGATTTTAGCCCAGATATTTCCAAATCTTTCAATTGAAGCTCCGTTCATAGTGCCATGTGGGAGCTTTTGTTGGTAGCGTTTTATTCTTTTTTGCGAAAATCAAACTTGGTTCTTGACACGCTTCATGCAGTATCTGCGAAAGTTCTCTTATGTTCACATTTACAAGCTGCATCTACGGGCTATACTTTACATGTTCAGCATACTAAAACCATTCAATTTCGAAAACGATCCCTTTGTATTCCTTTGCCCGAAATTGAAGGCTCACATCTTTGCCCAGTCACGGCCTTATGTAGGCATTTCAGGATAAATCGCCTTAGCATTAAGTCTCAGATTCCTTTGTTTTCAGTATTGTGTTCTCAGCAGGGTGGACATACACCGATTACATATGCACAGTTTTCCTCTTTTATAAAGTGGTGCATACGTAACATTGGTTTAAATCCAGATTGCTTTTCACCTCATAGTTTTCGGCGCGGAGGCGCTTCTTTCGCATGCATGCGGTGTACCCTCTGAGCTTATTCAGCGTCAGGGTGACTGGAAGAGTGATGCCTATTTAGTGTATTCACATATGTCAGATACTCAAAAACAACAAGCAGTACGTGCAATGGCACATAAGATTTCACAATTTTCTATAATCATTATATTTCAATTCATTTTAGGTCTTTTAAAACAACCACATATTACCACTCCACCTAGTGTTTGGCGTTTAAATTTTTTTGGGTTCATTTATTTCGGTCATTCTTATTGCAGCTTGGACTAGGCCAGCAGCCATGGTTCTTGTGACCTCAATAAAATATTTACGCCAAACTCTAGTTGTGTGTGTCGTTATTATAATTAGTACATAATTACTTTGTGATAATGGGTAATTGTAATATAGATTCGGTGAAGTCATTGAGTCATTAGGTTTCATTGCATGTGTCCAGAGTATCATAGTTTATCTGTTGATTGTTCAGTCAACTCGCTCGTGCTATCATCGTTAGATATTTTCCCTACCCACCCTTCTCAGGGTTCATTTCTTTCGGTCATTCTTATTGCAGCTTGGACTAGGCCAGCCCTGGTTCTTGTCACCTCAATAAAATATTTACGCCAAACTCTAGTTGTGTGTGTCGTTATTATAATTACATTGCTAAATGTAACTATACATTGTATTTTAATCATAAGTTTTGATTTTTGGTAGGCAAGAAAGGCGTGTGTATTACTTGCACAGATACAAAGCCAGAAAATTCCCACAAAAGCACATGTCTGTGATAGATGATGGAATGGACCAAAAAACCATACCCTGACAAAAGTGAGACAGATGAGTAAAGTTTTGTGTGGGTTAACCACAGTTGGCACTCATCTTGTATGACTCTAACTTAACCATGACTGTTCTTTTAAAGTGCTACTTGCATGAAAGTGGTCTTATTTCAAAACGTCAAGCAATACAAATACATGACTCATTTTTATCTATTAAAAACAATTGCGGGAAAATATTTGTTTTGGAATTATCCCACGTCAGAGATTGAAATTTTGATTCAAAAGATGGAAGAACAAAAGGATGGAGTAGATGACGTCCTCTACTCCAACATTTTTGCCCAAAATATTAAGGATTTGTATCAATATCTTGTTGAAATCTGTTGCTTCATGATTATTAGACTCATGGATATTAGACTCATGGATAGGTCAAAGTCTTTCAATGTGGTCTTAGAATTATAAGCTTCTCCCAAATTTATACCTTCAAATGGATAACTGTTGTAGGGGAAGAACCAATTCAAGCTGCCCTTACTTGCATTTACGGTAGAGAAAAAAGTATTTGAAAACGTTTGTTAATGTGTCAAATGTAGAATGTTGAGGGCAAAATGATTTTGGACTGCATAATACGAAGCATCGGTACCTATTTTATGTTTCAAAGTACAATAATATTAATTTTCAGAATATTTGAAGTCTAAGGATGATTTTTTCAAAGCACTTTGGGAATTATGATTTACAATTGAGGGTAAGATGACATAATGACTTGATGTTATTATCATGGTTATTACGATTGTGGTTTGATGGAGAGTCATGGCAGTATATTTATAGGGTAAAACAATAAGTAGTGCAGTAATGTCAATAACTTTCTTTCACTGTAAGATCTATTTTTCATGATAATGATTTATTAATTATGTTTTCTTGTAATCAAATTTGCGTGTAGCATTACAATCCTGCATGAACACTAACTACCCAAATTATTTATTCTACCCCATTCTTATGATATTCGTGAATGGATATCAGGGTTTGCACAACCAATGAGGGATCACACAAAACCAAAGTGCTTCAAATTTGTGCTTAATGACAAAGGAAAGGCCGTCATGCACAATAGAAACTAGAGCCACGAAGATTGTTTTTTTTTTTTTTTTTTTTTTTTTTTTTTTTTTTAATCTTCAGACCTTTGGGGACAGTACCCTTTTCGACTTGCTCCTCCAGGTGTACGACTCTGTTTTTAGTGCTAGAGAGAGTCTTTTCTTTGTCGACCAAGGCATGCACTTTTTTCTTTAGAAGATTGGTCAGTGCTTGGTCGAGTTTAACTGCTGGATGAGAAATCTCTTCAAATGCCGTAGCGGAGATGGAATCATCACAATCACGGTGCTCAGAGAAGTGAACCGATCGTGCTAGTGACTGTCTTTCCAAGGAGGATTCTCTGCTTTTTGTTTTAAGCGAGAGTGGCTTAGTTTTCTCCTTTGGACCGCTTCGGCTTGTGTCTCCCATTAGTGGCGTCTTCTAGGTATACTAATACAATTTTTTAACTTAGACTAGTGAGCAGCACCAAGGAGAACTCTTTGAGTAGTTGTAAAACTTTTTAATTTCCAACGCGTTTCGTCTCTTAACGGAGACTTCTTCAGGGAATGATTTTTACAACTATAGTACAGCAATATATAATAATGTAAACGTGATTTACAACTTCCTAAGGAAGTGACTAAAAGCTTACATATGCTGTTTAAAGGGACGTGTATATAACAACGTCGTGACTAATGTTATTATTACGTAAATAATTTGGGGACCATGCGATTAGCGCTAATCTGAAGATTAAGCCTATCCAAGCAAAAGGAAAGTCCGCCGATCTTCAGAAGAAGTTTGACRATATAATCCGTGAAGCGGAATGTAAACTTCTGGACGTCGTACTCGAGAGCCAAAGGGAAGAAATCCAAGCAATTGAGGAAGCGATAAAAAACAGCAGAAAAGACWTCGATTYCACTATTAGCAGATGGAGATCTTCGTTTCCATTGAAGGATGAAAAATCCATCGAAAAAGCCGATGCCCTTGCCAAAAGTGCATCAGAATTCGTGGAGGACTTCTACTTCAATTCTAAAGCTCTACAGACGTCAAAATCTCTAGTTCAAATCCTGAATAAAGAGGRCAACAATAAATGTAATCAGCCGGCAATGGAAACCGAATTCCAAGTAACAGAACAGTCTATCCGAGACATCATCAAAGCTGAAGTTAAACGACTTGAAGGTCAGAAAGAGCAAAAATCTCGAGGTCGTTTGAGTCGCAAAGACCAACAGCTTAAAAACGTAAACAAACAAGAGCGAAAGCGTAGATCGCAGTCTAATGGATCTAGTGGTCGCCAACGCAGCCAAAGCTCAAATAGAAGGGTTCAACGCCAAGGACAGCAAGCCAGAAAACGACAATCTCAGCAGTCAAAAAACTCTCGAGGCCGAGATTCCGGCCACGGAACATAGACAATAGATGTTCGTATTCAAAATGGCTTTTCACCATGGCAAATCGACCCTTATATGACCTCTTACCACGAAAYTCGGAATTCCATAACTTTACCTCTTTACATTTAACTGATCGTCAGGCTAAAATCATTGGAATGGGCTTGAAGTTTAGACCCACACTCAAGCCTCCTTCTGTCGACCAGTTTACAGTACAAATTCAGGACTTCTGTCGCAGTGTCCGTTTGCATGATAAGTATAAGGGTCAGCTAGCAGATCGCAGTTTTAACCCGAAGCTTTATGTCAAATCTGGCTGGAATCCTCCGCGGGAAAATCCAGACCTTGAGGACAAACTGGACAGTCTATGCAAGGATTTGAAACTGAACATTAGTCGTAACAAACCACACTGGAAGAGGAATCTCTCTCCAATGGATCGCGAAGAGTTAAACCAAATCAAGTGTGATGAGTCTGTCAAAGTTCTGGCCACTGATAAGAATCTTGGACCAGCTCTAGTTTCTACTGATTGGGTAAAAACCGAGACTCTTAAGCAGCTTAATGACAGTCAATCCTATTCTATTGTGTCAACACAAGAGTGGGGATTGAGACGTCGGCAGGTAATTGCTACTCGCGATAAACTGTTGTCAACTTTCAAGAAGTTTGTTCCCTCTAATGCTCTAAAATTCTTGCGTAGTTACGATCATTTCACTGATCCTGCTAAATTTTACATAATTCCTAAAATCCACAAAAATCCTATGGTGGGTCGGCCTATAGCAGCTTCTCACAGTTACATCACTAGACCTCTTAGTATTTTTGTGGATGAATT